CCTCCAGAACCATGTAACTCCCCTTCAGGAATTGTAACAGCTGTCACTATAGGAACCTGTAACTACACTTCAGGAACTGTAACAGCTGTCACTATAGGGACCTGTAACTACACTTCAGGAACTGTAGCAGCTGCCGCTATAGCAGCTGGTTTAACAAAATTGAAAGTTGCCAATAAAAAAGTGTGTACCATTCAACTGACAAGTTGTTGATATATTTGTGTTTTTTGACAGATTTTTAAAAGATATTTCTGCAGTTGGTAAACTTTGATTTACTTTTGTTTATATATATCTCATATTTCCTAATTTTGTTGATATTCTAAAACTGCCCTTTTCAATCGCTGAAGCTTTGACGTTTCAATGTTATTGCCGGACACAGTATAATCCGCTTCATCGCTAAGCCTAATAATAGTAGTAGTAGTAGTAGTAGTAATAGTAACATTCTATTAAGTAGGATGTAACATTCCATTAAGTAGGGTGTAACATTCCATTAAGTAAGATGTAACATTCCATTAAGTAGGATGTAACATTCCATTAAGTAGGGTGTATCATTTCATTAAGTAGGGTGTATCATTCCATTAAGTAGGATGTAACATTCCATTAAGTAGGATGTAACATTCCATTAAGTAGGATGTAACATTCCATTAAGTAGGATGTAACTTTTCATTAAGTAGGATGTAACATTCCATTAAGTAGGATGTAACTTTCCATTAAGTAGGGTGTATCATTCCATTAAGTAGGTGTATCATTCCATTAAGTAGGATGTAACTTTCCATTACGTAGGATGTAACATTCCATTAAGTAGGATGTAACATTCCATTAAGTAGGATGTAACATTCCATTAAGTAGGATGTAACATTCCATTAAGTAAGATGTAACTTTTTATTAAGTAGGATGTAACATTCCATTAAGTAAGATGTAACTTTTTATTAAGTAGGATGTAACATTCCATTAAGTAAGATGTAACTTTTTATTAAGTAGGATGTAACATTCCATTAAATAGGATGTAAAATTCCATTAAGTAGGATGTGACTTTTTATTAAGTAGGATGTAACATTCCATTAAGTAGGATGTAACATTCCATTAAGTAGGATGTAACATAGAGTTTCATGTAAAAAAAGGGGCACGAGGTGGATCATATGGTTAAACACTATTTCCTTGAGGTCGTAAGGTCATAAAGCTGCCGTAAAAACTTCCTATCTACAAATACACGGGACATCCGCCTTTCTCAGGAAGATCCGGAGAACCCGACATTTAGACCCGCATCCGGATTTCTCCCGTTACTAAAACCGAGTTACTTGAACAGCTTTGGCGCCACGAATTTCCCGAAAACATTAAAAGTCTAACATCATCTTAACTAATTATGTTCTGACTAAGGTACGTATACAACATTCAGATAGTTCAAAAAGTCACCTGCAAAACAACAGTCAGAAATACGATGATTATGTATTTTAGGAAAATAACATTTTTTAAATAATGTTACATCTCAAATCTTTATTTTTTTTCACGTAATATTACACTTTCTTGTTGTGTAAGAAATGTTTATTTATGTACTTGTATAACGACACTGACAGTTAAACTATAAGGTGAACTTTCGGACAAGCAATGAAACAATCACGTCCATCGTGAACATCAGCTTAATTAACTACCTGAACTGTTTTGTAATTTATTGTTTAATTCTTCTCGATCGAGCGTTGGATCACGTGCATACAAGTCACAATTGATGAAGATAAGGTTTGTATGTCAAAGGTTATTAACTTTCAACTTGCTAATTCTATGTATCTGTCCGTCAATACCAATAGTTAGTTTGGGAATGTCTGTCTGTCGGTTACAGTTCAATAAAGACGATGCACGAGCGATTTTGAACCTGTTGTCAGTTCAAGGTCGCTGGTCAAATTTCGCCACGTGATAGGCGTGGTACAATTTACCGGGAGATAAGAAAGTCAGGTAGCTTTATGAGTGCGGCGTGCGTTCTAGGGTAGTCCTGGAGTTATCCACTTACAGTTGAACAATACACGTCGTGATAGAAAGATGACACAGAAAACATGGTAAGTTTTAAAGAACATAACACAAAACATTTGAAATGTTTAAAGCATGACATGGGACACTTAGCACATGTCATGTTTGGGACTTATCGCTGAACCACCGGGGGGTAACAGCTAAAGGGGTTTCTTGGAAAGTTTTTAATAGGAAGAACACCTGAAATGAAATAATCTATATCAACCAGAGTCGTGTTGTACATTTCGTTTTTATTTTAATTCAGTACTTAGAATAAACGTGATGTGCACATTCAGAATTAACGTTTCTCACAAGTTTCATCTGATCATTCATTTGGGCTCTTTTTTCATTTAATTGTGTCAGCTTTTTAAAAGAATTTTGCAGATCGCTTATTCTAGACTGTGTGAAAAGAAACTTTCACACAGTCTAGAATAAGTAAAGAAACTTTCACACAGTCTAGAATAAATAAAGAAACTTTCACACAGTCTAGAATAAGTAAAGAAACTTTCACACAGTTTAGAATAAGTAAAGAAACTTTCACACATCGTCTAGAATAAGTGGAGAAACTTTCACACAATCTAGAATAAGTAAAGAAACGTGTTCACACACTTCAAAAATCAGTTTGTTTATCCGTAACACACAATCTAGAATAAGAGGAGAAACTTTCACACAGTCTAGAATAAGTAAAGAAACTTTCACACAGTCTAGAATAAGTAAAGTTTCTCCACTTATTCTAGACGATGTGTGAAAGTTTCTCCACTTATTCTAGACTGTGTGAAAGTTTCTCCACTTATTCTA